GCCCCTGATAGAGATCGACCGATATCCGTTTTCAGAGGCAGATGCAGAGTCTGACTGGCTGATGGACGATTTAAAAGGCAGATGTTAAATGGCACATCAAAAATGTTAAGAGTAAGGCTGAAAATAAATATGGGGAAGGGGATAATGATAATAGGAACTTCAAAAATAGGACATTTTTTGGGGGTTACCCCAAAATGCCCTTATATAATCAGAATCAGAATCTTTATGGTTATTGATAGGAAGAGTTTATTTTAGAGAATAAAGAAGAGATACAGTATTTTATATGTGGTAGAACTGTGTGGTTGTTTTGTGTTTTTACTTTTTCACACTATATTCCCTGAATCTACATATTGAATTAATTATTACTGATTTACGTTTGGGATTGATGTTTAGAGTAGAAATATGTGGTTGATTTCTGTTGAATATTATATTTGAAATGAGGTATAACATGCCATGGCAGCAAATCTGCAGAATGGGAAGGAAAACAAAAAAATGTATTACAAAACTTCATAGCCGTACAAGTTTATTTGTCTATTTGTCAAGTCTATTTGTAAAGTTTGCAGGTGTTTTGTAAAAGGGTTGTAAAAACTCCCAGGAAGCTGTATTAGCTTGTAGACAGGGCCCCAAAAACAAAACATGTAAAAAAAATGTGATAATTTATGCCAGAAGTGGGCTTATCGTTGATATTTCAAAAACTTAAAGAAAAAAATCAGCTTGATATATTGATCGATCTCTAGCCCTTAATCTTTCTAGGACCAGTGAGACTCGAATCATTAATCATTCTAGGACTAGAATCATTGTTAAGAAATCTATACATTTATTTAACATTGATTCACACGAGTCTGTGTTCTGGGGTTGTCCCTTCCTTTTGTAAATCAGCTGTAGTAGAGCCATTAGTTAAGAAACCTGGACTCGAGCCTTCAATCTTATCAAATTATCTTCCTATTTCAAAACTCCCCTTTGTTTCTAAGATTTTAGAAAAAAGCGTAATTTCCCAGTTGCAACCTTTTTTAAATGAAAATTGCACTTTAGACCCTTTCCAGTCTGGGTACAAAGCTTTGCACAGCACTGAGTCTGCACTTTTAAAGGTTTTTAACGACCTGCTTTTATTGGCAGATTCTGGAAATTCTGCTGTTTTAGTGCTTTTAGACTTGACTGCTGCGTTTGACACTGTGGACCATGCAACTCTTTTAAATCGTCTTAAATACTGTGTGGGTGTCAGGGGGACCGCCCTGGACTGGTTTAGGTCATACCTGTCAGGGCGGTCCTTCACTGTCAGGCTGGGGGACTCCACATCCACCTCTGCCCCTTTGCACTGTGGAGTTCCCCAGGGCTCAATTCTTGGCCCTTTGCTTTTTGCCCTGTACCTCCTCCCACTTGGTGACATTTTTAAAAAACATGGAATGTCTTATCACTTTTATGCTGACGATTGTCAGATTTACATGCCTTTGTTAAAAAATGATCACAGCCCCCTGACGCCTCTACTCAACTGTCTGAGTGACGTCAAGGATTGGTTGGCTCAAAACTTTCTTAAACTCAATGAAAATAAGACAGAGGTAATTTTATTTGGCCCTAGTCCCCCCCTCATTGACCTGGGGCCCTTAAAGGACCATGTGCGCCCCACAGTCACCAACCTTGGCGTCATCTTAGACAGTGATTTTAAACTTGATAAGCAGATTAATCGCGTTTTAAAATCAAGCTTTTATCATTTGCGGCTTTTATCTAAAGTCAAACCTTTTTTATCTTTTAATCTTTTTGAGCAGGTCATGCACGCTTTTATTTCGTCACGCCTGGACTATTGCAATGCACTTTATGCGGGCATCCCCCAAAACGCACTTTCCCGTTTGCAGTTGGTCCAAAACTCAGCGGCACGACTTTTAACAGGAAGCAGAAGGCGCGATCACATTACACCAATTCTGGCTTCGTTGCACTGGCTTCCTGTTCATTTTAGAATCAATTTTAAGATTTTATTGTTTGTTTTTAAAGGTTTGAATGGACTGGCCCCTCCCTACATCTCGGACCTCATCCAAATTTACCACCCGCCCCGCGCGCTGAGGTCCGAGGGCCAGCTCCAGCTCGTGGTGCCTAAGACCAGACTTAAAACCCGGGGGGACAGGGCCTTCTCTGTGGCTGGACCAAAGCTGTGGAACGCTCTGCCCCCCCACGTCAAAACAGCTCCTTCAGTGGAGTGTTTTAAGTCTCGTCTTAAGACCCATTTTTATGCTCTGGCTTTTAACACTACGTGAGTTGTATGGTCCTTTTATTTTATTTTATTTCATCTTATTATTGTTATTTTTGTGTTTATACATATGCACACACGGTTTTTCAAATTTGATTTTTTATTATTAACTGTCTTACTATGGATTTATTTTTGGTATTTTATTGTGCAGCACTTTGGAAACTGTGTTTATGAAATGTGCTATATAAATAAAGTGGATTGGATTGGATTGGATTTCCTCCTTCACACAATCACATCCTTGCTTTGATTTATTAAGAACTGTATTGAGGCGAGTAATGACAAATTGAAATACAGCAGTGAGAATAACATCTCCGACCCCGGTGTCAATAACAGTCTTTTTGATTTACTTGTCCAAACTGCCATTTTGTTCTCTTTGTGTCTTTCTCCTTGGGGACATCATTTCCCAGTCCGCAGATGCCGTATCCGGGTGAGAAAGTGCACCGCTGCAGCCATTATTCACAGCTCAGGCTATCAGCGGTGAAGCATTGTGGGTCGCCGCCAATCCTCTGATCACCATTCTATCTCCGCAGGATACCCCACCTTTTTCTACCATAAATAAAACTCTGGGTTTGTCTCAACAGCAAGAGACAATGTTGTGAAAAACATTGACTACAACATGCTGCCTTATTATCTTTAACATACACGTAAGAAAGAACCGTGTGAGTCACTATTTGATGCTTTGAGCTGATTGGCTGAGAGAAGGTGATCCTCTCTGTTTCACTTTACTGTCTGAAAAAGCAGATCTAAAGATGTCACAGGTGCCAACAAAATGTGAATGGGAAAACTAGTGATAGAACCAGACAGTTTCAGAGCCAGGATTTTGTGTGTGACAAGAAACATAGGTACCCCTGCTTTAATAATACAGTATATATTATTGTATGCAAGGGGAGTGATCCCTATCCACACTAGCAGTAGTAGCAACAGTAGTGGTATCAGCCAGTAGCAATTGTGCAGAATATTCTACCCCAACAAATACATTATTCATTGTTGACCACATTAATAATGAATGATCGAGTGGATTTGTGGTTATGTACAAGGCTGGTAATCATTAACTTGCTTGTTGTATTCAGGAGAGGATACAGAACAAATATACTGGTAACGATACAATGGCAAATGTAGTAGTAATGCTTCCTTCTTCCATCCCCTTTAAAAAAAACTGTTATTCTGTTATTTTGTTCTGTAAAATTGTGTTGTACAGGTTTTGAAACATCTTAGTTGGATATTTGTAGTAGTAGCAGCAGCAGCCGCTCTGGTTCATAGAGTGATGCTTGTGTCACAGCTGGACTTTACAGCTGTGACTGTAAAGTGCCAAATTGTCATTGTGTCCTTAGGCAAGACACTTCACCCACATTGTCAAGTATGAGTCTGGTGAGTGCGTGAATGGTTGGTGGTGTTCTACTACTACGTTTTTGACTATTACTAGTAGCACACTATTATACATGTTAAAGCTAATTCCAAGTTTGTGTTTTTCAGTGGAATATAATAAATGCTGTAAAGTGCTGTTTGCCAAATGCTCACAAGACAGATTTCCACCGCAGCAGGACAAACTGTGATGTAAACACTACTTAATCAAATGACAGTAATAAATACTGCTGACAAAAATACATTAACAAATTAATTCAGATGGAAAGATTGTCCTCATCAGCTAAAGTGTGTAAATCTACTAAATGTGTTTTTTTGCTTTACTTTTGTGCTGTCACAATAGATGTCAAAATAATTAAGTGTGTGACATCACAGCATTCCAAAGAGACAATGTTCACTGCTCAATTAAGCCCAATAGGGGAGTGTTCATGGACAAAGTTTTGCTCCAAGTCTCCATTGTGGTGGAGGCCAAAAAATCTATGGCAACTATGGTAACCGTCAAGAGTCAGACATATTATAGTCTGGTCTAGAGATAACTTCTCTGTAACCCCTGGGCCAATCCACACTACACCTGTCACCAAGTTCCACATCTCCTTTGTCAGTATCCACTATGGTCAAAATATTTTCCCATAAAAGGTTCTAGAAGTGGCAACAATATTCAAAAACAAATGCATGATGTTGGCCAGTAAAGTGACTTTCAGACATAAGAATTATAATGATCTGAGAAAACATTTGGACATTTTCTTCAGTAACATTTCTTTCACAAATCGTCTTGGCGCCAGCGGTACAACTGAGATACAAATCTACAACATATTTTTGAACTGCTTCTCATCCGTCAATTAAGAACAGAACATTGTTGAGTAAAAGCAAAAACTATTCTGACCATCTGGGTTAATATCAAAAGGAACATTTTATAACCACTTCTCCAATATTATAAAACCATCCAAATAAGTACTCGTTCTACAGCCTGAGTCCTGGTCTATCCACGGAAGCAGATCCCTCTCTCAGTGTGGGCCTTTGGAGTCGTTTCTCTCCAATAGGGTTAGGGTTGTGGACGATGATGATAGCTGAATTTATATGACTTTTCCTAACTTGACCATCCCTGGGCCTTTTAGATCCTTTTAGACCCTAATTTAGGCTATTTTTTATTTGATTTTTATTTTAGATGTCTCATTTCATTTTCTTATACTTTTAATCACTGTGGCGGGTCCGTTTGACCCGAGGAAACCAATGACTCCTTCATTCATTCTTTGATCTGGTGTTGGGGAATTGACAACTTTAGGCCTATACACAAATATATTGAAATGACTCAATCAAATGTACAATACCAGCAACAGTGCATCCCTAATAAAGACACATTATCACCAGCCCACAATGAAAACCATGTGAACAGACGCAGTTAGTGAGAAATGCTGAAGTCACATGATCTCTTCTGAACCCCATGTGTGTGTGGCGCTGTGGGGTGTCTGCGGGCAGAGGCTGCAGTGGTTGCTGGACAGATTCCAGCGCTGCAATCTGCCTCTGGGTCGGTGCCAGAGTACATCTTTGTGCCCCCCCGCCTCTCACTACCTTCCTCGCTCTTTCCGTTACCGTGGCAACTGACAGGCCTCCCATTGACAAATCTTCAGATGTGCATGCGAGTGTTGGTGCTGGATGTAGCTGCAGGTTTTTCGGGGGCGGGACGAGCGAGTGAGCATTTAGGCACATGGAGGATTAGAACGTATAGAGGCACGTGTGTGGAGGGGTGACAGCAACAGGCTATTTTTATCCATGCAGGGGTGGAGGAGCGAATTCAGAGGAGACGCACTGTTGTGGCACAATAATACAGATACAGGCGTAAAAATAGCTCAAGACAGGATTTCTGGTAATCCCGAGCAGACGCACAAAGAGTTACTTCTGTACCTAAATGTAGCCGTGTAAAATACATATCGGATTCATGTGACCTCTGCTGAATCATCTCTGCAGCTATTTCCATTTGTCTGGGCACATACATGATTCCACTGACAGATGTATCACATGATTAGTGCATGAAAGAAGAGTAGGAAGCATGAAAAGTTGATTTTCAAAAACAGATTGTGAAAAAGGTTGTATTCTTCTAGCTGCAATCTTCAATCTGTTTTGTTATTGGACGTACATTTGAAAGAATTGCTCAAGAAGGGGTGAAACTTTATCTGAATGGCACTAAATATCTGGCTTTACAAAAAAATGACTAGGTAAAGGGCAAATTGTAATCCTTTCCCCACATGTCACTTATCTATTAAAATATGCAGGCACATTCCCCCCCATTTTAAAATGTCACTATCACACAATGTTTTCTGCTACTGATACAATATTCTTTACAAAACTATGACATTTTTTTAAGAAAGGAGAACTGTTAGTTTGAATTTGAAAACATAATTATACTATATATTTGTTTATTTAATGCAATTTTAATGCACCTCTCCTTGAAAACACATGAAAGGCATGTGAAATTCAGGATTGGATACTCCTATTAAAAACCTCCATCTTAAGTTTCGTCCTCACCATTTGCCTAACAGCGTGTTTTGGTGATTATCAAAGTCTTTTGCGGAAATGGTTGTCATTTTCGTCATCACACAAATCACCACTATAACTTCTTATGTCAGCTCTCTTTACTCTGCTGACGTCACCCATGATGCGTGCCGAATGCGGAAGAAGCTGAACATAAACTAACTGGAGCCTGGAGCCTGGGGTTAGATATGCACTGTAACGGTAGCAGATTAGTTTCCCACCACAAATGACGGCATCTGAATGGTCGCCCTTACGGCTCATATTTGGATTCTGGACCAAAATAAAACCCCAGGATCATAGAAAGCGCCGAATCACAGTTGCTGAGTTAGAGTTTTAGTTCCAGTTTAAGTCAATTGCAGCCAGAATGAGTTTGAGCAACACATCGTCCATGAGCACTTCCCTTCATTGACCTAAGGGGTTAGCATTGTCCATCTATGTGTAAAAGATGTCTATTTGCTATCTATCCCAGATAAAAGAGTCTGAAGATGCTAACCCCTCTTTTGACTGGTTGTGAATGTAAAGTGTATAGCCATGCTGAGCTACTCACTCGGAGGAGTCTATAAAGTATATCCCAAGGGCCCCGATGCTGAGCGCAAACACCAGCACCACCTGCAAGAGAAGAAGAGGACACGTTACACCAGCGCAAAACTGAAAACAGATCCTGGATACTTCCAGTTATAAACCGTACAGTGGAAACACGATCATTTATTCAACAAAGTGTGGTCACAGTGTCGGTAATTAAGCTGTCTCATACAGGATACTGACGTGGCTGAAGTACAGTTTCTCATACAAAATTATTCTGTGTCTTGTTTTAATTTTCATTTGCATATTGTTTATATTGATTTCTCTGCATAACGTTTGAGATAAATTCTTACTACTACTATACAGAACAGTTTTGTGCCCTTTTGTGCATTAGTAGTATCCTATGGAGAATATTATCTTTATAGCAGATCTAGGTGTATCTCACATCAGCAGAAGCGAACTGTTTGTTTTCATTCATACCAAAATTCTGTTTGTGTGTCACAGGTTAAGAAAAAGTTGAAAAAACAAAGCGGCTGAAATGGCGGTGGTCTTAGCAATGGTGAGTTTAATACATGGAATAGAAGATTACTCAAACAGACAAATCACTTACAAACATGTGGATGTATTTCTCATCTTTCATCTGTCATTAAAAATCTATAAACAGTTAATTTGATTAATGTAAAAAACTTGGTCTAGAGTCCAAATTGCAAAAAAAATTGTTCAATACTATTGCTAGCTATTTTTATTTGTTAGCTATGTTATTTGTGTTTCTGCAAGTGACATTTTACTTTTTTAAGTCTCTTTCTGTTGGGACTAACAATATGGATTATTTATGTAGAAAAAAGTGCAGTCGAGATAATTATAATTAAATTGCCTCTGCGAGCATGGGCTGAGCAAGTATTGATGTGACCCAGTGTTTGCAAATGCAGAAAGAGCTGATTTGAACATAAGCAAGATAGAAAAAAATCATTTATATGGGCATTTCTCCTTGCGGCATTAGCTTTACGCTGTAACAGACGGAAACTGTTAAACCGTAATTGAGCTAGTGGAGTTAGCGGGTTAGCATTGTCCATCTATATTCAGTCTACGCCAGGGGTGTCAAACTCATTGTGGTCGGGGGCCAAAAAAGAAAAATAGGAACTGGTTCGGGGCCAAAAGAATCGAAGGGATTTATTGTATTTTTACTTTGAGATTACTTTTATTTGACATGAGTTCCACTATTATTTTCTGGTTGGATTTTTCTTATATCAAAATGTGTTTGGATTTAACTAAACTGCACCAAATAGCTAAACACATTGTTATATATTTAACTATTTAACTGATTATGTGTTGGGTTAACATTTTAGAATAACACAACACAACATGTCTTGGTCGCCCATAACCATCAATAGTAGTGAGAAGGTGTGGCGTGTGCGGAGTGGCGGGGCTCACTCCGGGGCGCAGTTATCAAGTGTGGAAGTGTGTCGTTTGGCTACATGTGAGTCTGCTTTGTGGGCATTGTGCAGGGCTGACCTCCACCACGGCCTCTGCTCAGATAGTGTTTCTGTGTAACTGTAGACTCGTGGCGAGGTGAAGCGAGGTGAGCCGCCTTTCAATGCACGCAGACGCAAATGCAGTAGATTGGCATGTGTAGAAGTCACTAGTACTACTGCTACTGCTGAATATTGATGATTCTTACAGTTATAATAGTTCTTAAGTTGGTGTAGGCCAGTGTCTCCCAAAGTGGGGTCCGCGGCCCCCTGGTGGGCCGCGAGGGTACTGCAGGGGGGCCGCGGGAGGTCATAAAAAAAAATAATATAATTATTTAATGTTAAATTTATAATGTTTTGTTTGTAATATTCAAATATTTGTGTTCATTATTTGACTTGAATAATCCACTGTAATCATTTTTGTATTACAATGTTTGTAGCAGAGGCTATTTCCCCAAAATAAAATGTTGTCTTCTTGGTTATTATTTTGGGGGGCCACGCAGACCCGTCAGATTTTTAAGGGGGCCTCGGTGTTACTGAGTTTGGGAATGGCTGGTGTAGGCTATAGGGCTGCAAGATTATTTATTAAAGAATTATTGTTGATCTATCTTGTGTTATGTGCTCCTCATTCCCACCTTTCTGTAACTGGTGATGCAACACTGACATTTCCCCCGACCGTGGTACTGTGGTGGTGGTAGTGGTACAGAATATTTTAATCTTAATCTTGATTCTTGTTTAATTATTGAAAATAAATCACAATTTTAGTGGAGGAAATTAGCAAATCATTTATTTAGTATTTCAAACTTGTGCACTTTTCATGAAACAAAATTCAATATACCATTTAAAAAAAATACAATACAACATAAGCACCAAGCAGTTAAAAAGGGTTATATAAATCCATTCCATAACAAAACAAGGCACACCAAGAGAATAACAATTGCAAAGGTCGGGAAGAAGGGCATTTGTCAAAGCAAAATTCGGACTTCTAAATTCTGGAGTGTTCTACAGTCACGTCACAGTTGCCCCCAGGGAATCACTTTACAATGGACTACTGCAGTTTATCCACATGGAGCAGGACAAACAGTCAAACACAAAAGGACAACTTTAGTAAAAAGCAGCGTGTGCAAAATATCATGGATGGACAAGGAAGGACCCAAAAGCAGAACTGCAAAAATAATATAATTCAACACACGGTACAAGAAAATAAATCCAAAAGTAAAAAAACAGGGACAAGACAGGGCTAAAAAAAAAAAACAACACTGCCCCGACAACAAGAGGATGGGAGCACAGGGACTAAATACACACAGGGAGACATCAGGGCGGGGCAAATAATCAACAGGACAGACAGGAAGTAAAAATCACAACAAGAGCACAAATGCTGTGATTAGACTGTTGTGAGGCAGGTTAGTTTTACCCTACTGATGATGTGCTGTTGTAATAATAAACCTGCTAGTAATATAATGTATCAGAATAAATGAACAGAAAGTCCACACCATGACACAAAAGCCCAAACTTTTATGGTAAGAACTGTCATTATGCAAAGTATTGTCCCTTGTGTGGAGTTTTTAACCTTACTCACCTGCACCATATGTAAGCAACCGGACAATAAAACAGTTTGGGGGGATTTCTCTCTAAGTTAGCACTAAATTTGAGCTCATGTTGCCAAGGTGAAGGGAAAATGGCGTCCCAGGATGTTTTGTCGAAACTCCTGAGATCTTGCACAGTGAGAATGAAACTCCTTACAGCTCATTCTCCACAGTAAGACCTTATCCCGTTCTTGAGTTGACAAGCGTTTTCAAAATCACTGGAAACTGGTTGGTATGAGTTCCCATGGCGATGCTCTCTCTAACTTTTATAAATAACTCCTCATTGTACTAGCGTTCCAATCAAAAGCAAACCGCTCCGAGTGTCGTTACCATTTTACACGAGAAGAATCGACCTCCTGATCCCGATCTCATAACCAAAACACGTTAGCGGCGTCTCCGGTTTCCCCCAAACAAACCCGAACGCGAAGCTCATCATTCACACACGCAGCCGACCGTGCCTAAGTCATTATCGTCATACAACTCCCATTATTACTGTCAGTGCAATCTCCATGACAGCTGAGAAACGTATCGCCGCCCCTTAGCGGACTTCGCTAGTGGGACACAACGCGGAGGCCGTAGGAATATGTACTCCCAGCAGGCCAGCGAAGAGTGATTGGAGCCCCGTCCGAGCAACCCTCACACAGTGAGAAGACTCAGGACAGAAACCAAATCCAAGCGTGTTACGGGGCCGCTCCTCCCAAGGACACCCCCAAGTAACACCGACCAAAAGTCACCCGTAGTCCCAGGACGCCTCTCCCAAGAGCTCCTGACGTGGACCACCCAACTGACCAACACCCCTAACACCGCACCTACAGGACGCCTCTCCCAAGAGCTCCTGAACTAGGGCGGAAGGGCAAACCGTAATCTCTTAGACGAAGAACCCATGATTCCAATCAGTCCGCTGCACCAAGCACGGAATGAGCCACCGACCGGTCCGACACATCCAACAGGTAAGACCGGACAAAGGAAGAGGATGAAGCCCAAGAAGCCGCACGGCAAACGTCCTCCACCGAAGCCCCCCTGAGGAGGGCCGTAGAAGCCGCCACTCCACACGTGGAGTGCGCCCTAAAACCCACCGGGGGCGTCAGGCCCTGAGCTTGATACGCCATCCGTACAGCCGAAGCGACCCAGTGTGCCAGACGTTGAGACGACAGCGGGGCGCCTCTGTTCTTGGGGCCCAGACACACAAACAGCTGATCCACCAGTCTGAAGGAAGATGTCAAGGTCAGGTAACGCCTAAGCATTCTGACAGGGCACAGCAGGTGGCGTCGCTCCTCCTTGGGGGAGGAGTGCGGCGGCGGATGGAAAGCCCTAATCCTGATCACTCTCGACCTGAAGGCCGAAGTAATGACCTTAGGGAGAAAGGCCAGATTGGGCCACAACTCTACCAGCCCGTCCCCCTCTCCAAAGGACAGACAAGACGCATGTATGGAGAGCGCACACAAATCGCCCGCCCTCTTAGCAGACGCCAACGCCAGCAAGAGGGCAGTCTTAAAAGCAACACACTCGGGACTCGCCTCCGACACTGGTTCAAAGGGCGGGCCCGACAGACCCCTGAGGACCACTCTGGGGTCCCACACTGGGGGCGTTCTCTGAAGCGGGGGCATCTTCCTGCGGGCCCCCCGCAAAAAACGTTTCACCAAAGGATGAGAACGGGCCGTGAACCCATCGAAGCCACCGTGACTTCGATCCTCCGGCCACCGACGGAGGAAGACCCAGGTCTACCCAGGCCCCCCTACCCAGGGGGGGCCCTGTTCTCACGCCCGTTTATCGGCCGCAGGCTCTGGGCTTGGAGGTTGAGAGGCGGAACCTCGTAGACCTGGGTCTTCCTCCGGCGGTGGTGGAGACTATTCAGGGGGCGAGGGCGCCATCCACGGTGAGAGCCTACGACACCAGATGGAGGCTCTTCAGCGTCTGGTGCAGTGCTCGTTCTTGGGATCCCAGGCACTGCCCCTTGGAGGGAGTCCTGGGCTTTCTACAGGAACTCTTTGAAAAAGGGGCTGTCGGTACTCTGGCGGTGTTCGCGGCAGCCATCACCTCGGGTCACGGTGGCTTCGATGGGTTCACGGCCCGTTCTCATCCTTTGGTGAAACGTTTTTTGCGGGGGGCCCGCAGGAAGATGCCCCCGCTTCAGAGAACACCCCCAGTGTGGGACCCCAGAGTGGTCCTCAGGGGTCTGTCGGGCCCGCCCTTTGAACCAGTGTCGGAGGCGAGTCCCGAGTGTGTTGCTTTTAAGACTGCCCTCTTGCTGGCGTTGGCGTCTGCTAAGAGGGCGGGCGATTTGTGTGCGCTCTCCATACATGCGTCTTGTCTGTCCTTTGGAGAGGGGGACGGGCTGGTAGAGTTGTGGCCCAATCTGGCCTTTCTCCCTAAGGTCATTACTTAGGGAAACCACCGGGCATGCGGGCTGTCCGGAGCCACCAAGATCACCGATCTCCCCTCCTGCTCGATCCTTAAGGCGTACCAGGACGGGCACTGTGCCTTCTCTGCACTGGAAAAAAGGTCGACCCCTGGACGGCCGAACCTCCGCCAGATCTCTGCAGATATCGGCGGGACCAGGCCCCACTCGTCCTGGAGTAGGCCCCCCCTGGACATCCAGTCGGCCCCCACGTTCCGGGCACCCGGGACGTGGCGTGCTCTTAGGGACAGGAGGTGAAGTTCTGCCCATAGCAGAATCACCGTCGCCATGCGATGGAGAGCGGGGGACCTGGTGCCCCCCTGCCTGTTCAGATAAGACACCACCGTGGTGTTGTCTGAGCGAACCATCACATTTCTCCCCTGCAGCTGTGGGGCAAAGTGCAGCAGCACCCTGTGCACTGCCTCCATTTCCAGAAGGTTGATGTGGCGGGCTGAGTCCGACCAGCAGCCTCCTACGGAGCTCTGACCGAGGACCCCGCCCCACCCTTCGAGTGACGCGTCCGTGAACACCTCCACATGAGACACGGCGCTGACCAGAGACACCCCGGTCCGCAGCAGACCCGGAGTGAGCCAAAACCTGATGTCCGATGCTGCAGTTTGGGGAACCCAGATCAGCCTCCCCCCATCCCGTGAGGGGTGAAGCTTGAGACGTGAGAACCATCTCTGAAACATTCTCATGTGGAGGAGGCCTAACCGTACCACAGTATGAGCCGCCGCCATCATCCCCAGAAGGGATCTGAGGCGCCGCGCGGGGACCCTTGGACCCGCCAGCACCTCCTTTGCCAGACGGGTGATGCTCCTCCGTCTGTCCTCGGACAATGCAGCACTGAACCTCACCGAGTCCAGCTGCAGGCCGAGATAAATCAAGCGCTGAGCCGGCTGCAGCCTGCTCTTCTCTCTGTTCACCACAAACCCCAGACGCTGTATGTGGGACAGGACCCAGTGTGTGTGACTCACAGCCACTTCTCTGGAGGAGGCCAGTACTAACCAATCGTCTATATAGGTTAAAATCCTTACCCCCGCGCGTCTGAGCGGCTCCAGTGCTGCCTCCACGCACTCGGAGAACGTCCGAGGCGCGAGCGCGTAGCCAAATGGGAGACGGCAGTATTCGTAGCTACTTTATCCCACTGCGAATCGTAGGAACTTCCTGTGTTCCGGAACTATCGCCACGTGAAAATAAGCGTCCGCCAGGTCTATGGAGCACATCCAGTCTCCCTGCCTGACACACTGTAGGAGCTGCATTGTGGACAGCATCCGAAACTGACGCTTGGAAATGCACTCGTTCAGAACGCGCAGATCCAAAATGGGACCCACCCCGCCTGACTTCTTTGGCACCAAGAAGTAAGGGGAGTACAGCCCCCTGGCGGCGTCCTGTGGGTCTACCTCCACTGCTGCGCCTCGACTCAGCAGTGAGGAGACCTCCGCTTGTAGTGCCACTAATGACCCCCGTACCTGAGAGCGTGCTGCCCGTACGCCTCGGAATGGTGGTGGTTTCCGGGAGAATTGCAGTGCGTAGCCTCTGCGCATGGTTTTCTCCAACCACGGGTCTGACAGTAATTCCTGCTCCCTCCAGATGTTGTAGAAATCTACGAGGGGCGGAACGGGACCTGGAACACGAGACGTCACAGCCCCGCCCTCTCCTGGTGTTCTTAGCAGGGAGGGGGGGTGAACGAAAGGGCAGAGAGGCCTCCTGCGTCACGTCGTGTGCGTCGGGGGCGGTCACGTGTTCCGCAGGCCCGACGTCATAAGACCGGGCCTGTTCATCCCCTGTGACACGGCCACTCCGCCCCCCCCCCCGGCTCTTGCCTCATGGGGGGGGGGGGGGGCGAGCCCCTGGAATGGGAAACCCCGTGCCTGGAGTGGGAAACCCCGTGCTTAGCCTCGTAGCTAGGAGGGGCTAGCACGTGTTTAGCTGAAGTACACACACCTCTACTCACCAACACTCTCCGCTTGACCTCTCTCTGGGAGGGCATAGCATGGATTACAGAACCGGAGCTCGTAGCCCGCGTAGCGCACTGCACGCCCTGCTCAGGGGGCTGCAGATTGTGTTACTTCCCGGGCACATAACGTGGCCTCGCTAGGCCTTTATTTAAAACATTCTTGCCACCCCAGCCTCCTCTACCATAGGGAGGCCGGCGGTGGGCACGTTGCTCCTGCGAGCTTCCCGTGAGCTTCCTGTGGGTCTGTCCGGGCCTGGGGGTCTCGTCGAGGGGAGACGGTGAGTGGCGGAGTGAGGATAGGGATCGGAGCGCCTCCTGGGCGAGCGCTCTCGGCCTTTGTCTCTGCTCCAAGACGACTGGTGGGCCTCGCGCCTCGGAGCTAGGTGCGGAGCTAGCCTCGCCGAATCCTTCGCCGCAGACTCGAGTCTCTACACCAGGGCCTGCATGTCCGGGCCGAACAGGGAATCTTGGGAGACGGGCAGGTCCAGCAGTTGCCTCTTCTCCGCTTCCCTGATGTTAGCTAGCCCAAGCCAAAGGTGCCTGACCCCGACTCTGGCTGCCGCCATGCTGCGTCCACCATCCACGGCAAGCGCCTGGCTCATGCGTAGGAGCGCCGCGGAGGCGGTCCTTGCCTCCGAAAGACGGTCCCCGCTGAGTGACTGGCCAGCGGAGAGCGATCTATCCAGCGCCCCCGTGAGGAACGCCATGTTGTTCGCCAACGCGACAACCTGAGCCGCATTGCGTAACACCTATCCAGCAGTGCCACCGACATCCTATCCCGCTCGGAGGGAAGGAGAGGTCTGGTGCCGGGCCACACAGATGAGGAGGGGAGCAGGGCCATGCGGACAGAGTCCTCAATCTCCGGGACGCCACCGGTCCAGGACCAGTCCTGCACGTTGCAGTACATCCCATAACCCAAGGCAGGCCTCTTGGCTGCCAGAGGTTTGGACCACTCACGCGTCGCGTAATGGAGGATCGGCTCCATTCGCGGGCACAGTGTGGGCTGCTTCCTCCTCCTCCCTCGAGGTGCGGCGCCAACGGAGGTGAAGTCCACCACCGCTTGGTCTGGCTGTGG